AGTTTTTTTCCTATGATCTTAATCCAGTCATATTCATTTTGCTTATATGTTGGGAGTTCCTCTTCACTGCTCGCTCATAATTCTTCGTAACATACTACTCATTGGATCACCATAAATAAAGTATTGTATAGATTCTGTATAACTGTTTTAAAATTCATGTAAAAGTTATTCTTATTTGCCATGAACGGACCCCCAGGGGCCTTGAATACAAATCATTATTATCGTTATATAGAGAGAACCACGGAGCAAAGAGCTTGCACCCAGTTTTTACAAAGGACTTCGCTAACGCTAACGAAGTGTATTCTGTGGCAGACAGCCATCATTACCGGTTTGGCGCCATTGTTCAAGACCTCTCTGCCTCAAGGTCATCCGCTCTTTCGCAGCAAGGCGTTCTAGACGTGCTGACCTGAAGTCACACGACCGACAGCTCGGGCACACCTGCGGCCGCACAGCCGCAGCTGCCCATGCGGCCACTTGAACGCACCTTCCCCTGCAACCACAACCTAAGCCACTGGGACACCATCCCTCGGCAAATGCAATACACAATGACTGGACACCATTTGAGCTTGGCCCACGAGCCTACAAAAGCGGCTGGCACTACCATCTCAGGGACTCTCAGTCCTGACTGGACGCAGTCAACACCAGCCCTGGCTTCGGCAGTGGCCACTGCTGCCTGAGAGGACAACTCCGGCTTTGTATACAATAAACCCCACATTCTGGTGCCTTCTGTCTTCTCCTTCCACCATGGGGTTTGACCTGGTGGTTGTAGCGTTCAGAGCACTTACTCTCGCCGCCTAGCCGCTACAATTCTAGTGCACCTCTCGGTAAGAACGAACATACCACGCTACGGTTGGATCACTCGCTCTTCTCTCAACGCCAGAAGGGAGCAGAAGGCCAACCTAATATATGGAAGGCAGATTTTAACATGATGAAAAACGAGTTGATGTCCGTGAATTGGGACCGTTTGTGCAGTGGGGAGATCTTTTAGAACGATTTCGCTAGATTCAATTCGGCGTTATTAACAAAAACAATAAGAATAATTGTTAGTGCCGACAAAGACGACGGAGACTGGAATGGCAATTTCTAGCTTATTAGCCGTGGCCAGCCAGTCACACCCAACCCTGAAGTGTGGAACACCCGAGGCTCGAACTCGCGACCTGTTTGTTAGAAGTCCAACGCCTCTAACCACTGGGCCACGGGCCCGTTGCCCTCTTCCATCGTATATTTCAGATCGAAACCGACAGGGCAACGTGACCGTGGCCCAGTGGTTAGAGGCGTTAGACCTCTAACTAACAGGTCGCGAGTTCGAGCCTCAGGCGTTCCACATTTCGCGGTCGTGTATGGCTGGCTGACGACGACTAATTTGCCAGAAATGGCCATTCCAGCCTACCGTGTCTTTGTCAGTAATAACATTCTGCCTATTCATGCGCCGCTGTGCGGCAGCTGGCTTGGCTCCACAGAAAGACCGTTAGACACAACGGAGCTAGTGAGGTCCGTAAGAACGATTGGTGAGCGCTCCTCTACCAGTAAGAATTGTATTAAATGCCAGTTTACAGGCATTTTCAGGGAATGATTAAACATAAATCCGGCCAGAAGTGAAAAAAACTCCTTACAACTGACAAAGATGGTGGTAGTTTTTATAGTCTGCAGGGTTCAGGTGAAAAAAGCTACCCATGAAATGACGACAGTCAAGAAAGGCAGGAGTTGCACAGCATCAGATATTTTCTGTCGTCATTTCTTTTCATGAAGTTGGGACTCGACCAAACTGAAGCACCGAAGAACAGCTCTTGCTGTTGGATAAAGAAATTGTGGGTGGTGAGACCGGCCATGGGGATCAGAGACAAAGTATACCATCGCTGCAGCATATTCGATCGGCGTATTTAACACCCAAAATTCGTGGGATTTTTACTGAATGCAAAAAACGACTAATATTTCTCTTAAACAAAGAATAATTTTGCAGACTTTTTACATTCCTGGGTAATTTATTCGAAATAGCAAAAGTGTTTACAGAAAAGAACCGACGATAGTTAACGGCATGTACCAGAGGAAGAAATAAAAAGACCTCACGGTGACTTTTACGTTGTGCATGGACACTATGTTTTAAAGTAGTGAGCTGATTAAAATGGCGATTGACAAAGAGCTTAAACAGTAAAATAGTCCCTTTTGTAATCTAGGAAAAGACAAAAGATCAAGGCCTGTAAGCCGGTAACGTTCTTTGTACTACAAATTCCGGTGTTCCGGGGTTAAAACCCCCTTAGTAATAAGTATTGGACGGATTCTATTTTCTTCCGCTCAACATAACGCATGAGGCTAAATACGCAAGACCGTTATTCCAGGCCAGATCTAACGTACATGTTATAAAGGCGTATTCTAATATCGCTAGTTTTTAAAATTCGGAGGACAAACCCCGTCGTTCTACGTGTTTTGGAGACTATCATGGCGCAGTGCTCCGAAAGATGAAGACTCATGTATTATGATACACCCAGATCCTTAATAACCCGGGGCACATTTGTCGTGACTGTCAAAACTTAATTGAGATTGGTGATCATCGTCGACCACCACGAATGAGCATTTATGTCAAGGGAGAGAAAGGCCCCATGTTGACTACGACCTGAATAAACAATTAAGGAGAAAATTAAAAGATGGAAGATATTCAGGAAAACTGGGTCACCAGTGCCCCTCGAGGACTTTCGTCGCCAACGAGCCGCAGTCAAAAAATGCATTCGCCGGGCAAGAAAGGACATTAAATCCAGAATTATCCGAAGGCTTAACAAAGGTTCAAGACTTTATTCCATCTTATTAAAAATCGACTAAAAACAGGGGGCGGGTGGCAGTACTAAAGGGTGATAATGGTGTAGAAATCGTAGGAAACAGCCAGAAAGCCGAACGCTTGTGACGGTAATTTATCTCGGTATTCACTAAGGAAACAGAGTTTCGGAGTCGTAATATCAGAAATGATGTTGAGACGGCTTGCCCCGTGCTTCAATCTATATACTTTCCGCCATCTGTCGTGGAAAAGGTGTTAAAGAAACTCAAAGACGCAAAGTTGTCGCATCCTAACAATACACCGTCCAAATTCTTGAAATAATTGGCAAACGAACTCTCAAAACAGCTAGCATAAAACTTCCATTCGTATTTCGAATCAGGGGGCCGCCATTCGAATGCAAGGCAGCAAATATCTTCCCGGTAAACGAGGGAGGGGCTCGAACTGGTGTTAACAATTACCGATTTGTTGGTCACACCTGCCTCTGCTGTTAAATAATGGAAGCCATCCTTAAAAAATAAATGATGAAGTTCCTGGAGGAAAAGCCCTTTCTCACAGGGCTGAAACACGGCTTCAGACAGGACCAATCGTGCCTTTCCAGTTTATTGCTCTCGACTGAGCAGTGGACTCGCGCGCTGGACGAGAATGGTAGAGTCGATGTCACCTACACGGATTTCAAAGCGTTCGACAGCGTCCCACACAAAACGCCTAATCTACATACTAACTGAAAATGGAATAAGAGGAAAGATGCTGACGTGATTCACAGATGTTCTTACAGGGAGATCACGAACCGTGTGCATTGATACTTCGATTTCAACCCTTATCCCCTTTCTAGTTGGTGTTCTCCGGGGCTCAATCTTAGGGCCATTGATATTCCTAGTTTACATTGACGAATCTGTTGACGACCTGGAATGCATCCACATCATGTTTACTGACGATGCTAAACTGTGTAATGCCATCAGATCTGACGCAGACAAGCACGCGCTTCAAGAGTGTCTCAACCGACTTAGCAGTTTATCAGATCATTGGCTCCTAAATTCTAATGTGGACAAATGCGTGCGCTTGAGACTCCGCACCAGAAGGACCAGTGAGGAGGATGATTCCTTCAGATACCTCCTTAATGGGCAGCCTCTTTCAAATGCGGAGCGACAGATAGACTCGTCATCCTAATGAACTCTCCACTCAGACCATTGTCACGGTGTCGAAGGACGGTGAAACATGCGATAGGGTGTAATTTGCGCTGAGACGGGTATTCGTGCAGATCGATAAAGAGCTGTGCGGAAAAACCTGCAGGCTACTTGTTCGGCCTCGATTAGAGTATGTCTTCCAGGCCTGGCGACCGTGATTTAAGAAGGATTATCAACGACTGGAAAAAATACAGATGAGGGCCATAAATATGGTGAAGAATACTAGTCATCTGCCCTACGAAACTAGACTCTGAAATAAATATGTTTCCCCTCCATTACAGGCAACTGCGCGGCGACGTCATTCGAACCTGCCAGACTTTCAGAGGCCGTGAGTGTGCGCTAACTTTGGCAACTTCTTCGAATTGCCTGGGACGGATCGTCTGCGTGGTCATCCCTTTAAACTACGGAGGAAGTTTATCCATGAAGACGTCGACGGAGCGCTTTCTCGCAGATGGTCATTGGGACATGGAACGGACTCCCTGGCGCGGTAGTTCTTTCCAAAACTGGTGAATCGTTTAAGCGTAGACTAGACGCTCGTCTACTGAGAAATTGCTGTACATGTACATATGATTATGTCAATGGTGACAGCTAGCGCTTGGCCCACGCATGATGATAACTTTTAGATGTCAAGAATTACTGGTGTGACAATTGACTCTATTACTCCATAACAAGCTGACTTAAACTGACTTAAGCACACATGCAGGAGGATGTATCTAATGACTTGTGAAATAAGGGTAAAGATAGTGTTCTGAGGTCTATGATCTTAAATTCGGGCTTTTCAGTCATAGTACAGGCTGTAATTAGTCCGGAAGTCGGCCAAATGCCACTCACTGCGAATATTATAATTTGGATTTTAAGTCCGAATTTGTTGACTCGACGGCTAGTCTTATGTTGAATAAAGTGGAACGCGCGCTTTTACGTTGGGTATTTAAATTTTCACCTGGTTATGTTCTTGATGGTTTCGCCTTCTACCCGGAAATCCGTCCATGTTGTTAAAAGTGGAAACTATAAACGCCTTCCGGGGGAATACGAAGTTGAGAAAATATTGGATGTTAAGGTTGTGAATGGGAATGAGCAGTTCCTAGTCAAGTGGAAAGATCACGACGAGTTTGCCTTTCATACCTGTTTATTTTTAGTTCTCATAACACTTGGGAACCAATTGGTAATCTTGCCTGCCCGAGGATTCTTCACGAGTTTTTCCTACAAAGATCCCTGACCGAAGAAAAAATCGTTGATGTGGAGGTGCGGTTAACCAACGTTATCAACGTCTAAACATTTTCCTTAGGTGAACAGCGACAAACCATACGGTTTCGAGCGTGGTCTCGCACCAACATGCATTACTGGTGTGACAAAAGTCGATGATGAACTTTATTTCTTGATTAAATGGTAGAGTAAAGCGTCTATCTTACAGACTTCTAGGAAGGGCAGGAAAGACCCCGATGTCGTTCCTGCGACGCAGGCAAATGTCAGATGTCCCCAGCTAGTCATCGGATTTTACGAAAGTATCCTGTATTTTCAGTGACTTCTGTCGAGTTTATAAGTTTGATCTTCTGCAGCATATATTTGTGGCTTGCAGTCCCGATTTAATTGGATTCCTGCATTTACTTACTTTCACCTGATCCATCTGTTTCCAGTGAATCGGATGACCTGGCCACCAAAATCCTTTCGGAGATTTCTTCAAAACGAGCTTTACATATTAAACACTATTTTAATAAAAAAATATCTAGAAATTTTTACAGTTCAATTTTAGCAGACGGCGTCCGAGACGGCTTTCGTAGATATCTTGCTTATGTTATTGTCGGACATGACCGTAGATGACTTAGCCGGCGATAAGATCTGCCGAGCTACCTGTCTGTACACCCCGGTCTTTGCAGTTTATGACTTTTGCCCCGTTGGCTCTCATTTCTTCAAATCCAGGACCGTGAAACTACCATCCTGTTCAGGCAGAATTGTGTAACATCCCACCAAACTCGCCAAGACGGGACCATTTGGCTTCGTTAGTATCTTCTCTCATCAACAGTAAAGTCTCAATTCCAGAACACGATCCTCGGTCTTATGCACGTACATCATCCGGAGAGTCTTGCTGTTGAGGATCTTGGACTATTTTAGGCGAGTAGCGCGCTGAAAACTACGTATTGCACGCGTAGGATAGGTTGACTAGTGGTAACCCCTGTACTGGCAATCCAGTACGCCTGCGAGTGTCCGGGTTGTGGAAAGTTTGTCAGAAGCGTTTACGTTTGGAATAAGGGACTTTCGAACTGAATAATAAATAGTTGTGAATCAAGAATGACAGTTGTTAAGTCCCAGAGGGTCTAGATAAGAGACTGATCTTTCTTAAGAGCACAGCGATGTGGGTTGCGTTTATGTTTGGCTCTGTTGGCACCGTCTTATGGACTGGACTACTTCAAATACCAAAGTGAACGTTACAGGACATCACTTCCACAAATCTCCTGAACCTTGAGCGAACGACCGGGCAATGAAGGCAGAACTGCGTATCCCTCGGTAGACAGTGTTCATTTCTAACCGGAAATGCGCCTTAAATGTGAGCATTGGCGCAGCATCGTTTGGGTGTTACTTGCCTTGTATGCGGATTCGCGAGACCCACCGTCGCCAATATCAGGGCAGTAGTTAATAACAAGTCGGTCGACAGTGAGGACGACGAAATGAATAATTCTATCCAGTGTACATCCCGGCTGGGGGACGTGCCGATTGTGACAAAAGTTGTACGGACGGGGATGATGCCGTTGCTAACTGGGCAGGCGTGACTGTAACGTGTCCTTGAGTTGGTATGTGGGGAGGGGGCGCGTCCGATGCAGTGCATTTCAGTAAATGCTGAGCCAGACGAATTAGCATTTTAAGGGTTTTACTGTCGTTGGGGTTTGAGAGTGAGACAGATGGCAGAGCGTGTCGAACGCTGTTAGGTTTCATCGAGTTAGGTACAAATAGGCCGTCGGTCTGGGGGACCCTGAAAGGGGGGGGGGTGCCGGCGATAGTGGCAACAACAGCGCCTGATAAGGAGGGATAGATCCGGTGTTGACGCGGCCAGATGACTGCTCTCAAACCAGGGCTTGACTTCAGATGGTGAGTCGTGTTGGTAACATCGCCTTCATTCGTGACAAGATGTCAGCAACTACGTGAGGGTGACGGCGTTGAAATTGCACCCGGACATCGACTGACTGATTTCGACTGTCGATGATATCGCCTTACTTGCTTCAAGTTTTGGTGATCTGCAGTCTAGGGTGTCACGGGTGAACGAGGTCGCTAAATCGGCCAATTTGTCCATCAACGCTGGGAAGACCAAAGTGTTCTCAAGCTGCATCCCTGACCAGGAGAAGGCACCCCTCGTGATTGATGGCTGTCAACTTGAAGTTTTAAACAGTTTTAAATACCTCGGGGCGAGGCTACTACCGAATAGGCAGAGTAAGGATGACATTGCCTCCCGAATCGATGCTGCCTGACAGACTTTCTCAAGCTTTAGAAAAGGACTCTGGATCCGACGCGATCTCTTCATCGCCACTAAGATTCGCGTGTACCGTGCATCTGTCCGGTCTGTCCTTCTCTGCGGTTGTGAATGCTGGGCTGTGCGCGTGGAGGATGAGCGAAAACTGGAGGTGTTTGACCACCACTGCTTGAGGACCATCCTTCGAGTGAAGTTAACTGACTTCGTCTCAAATGAGACAGTCCGCGCTCGCTGCGACAACATCGCAAGGATAACTCAGGCCATCCAAGAAAGACGACTAGGTGGTTCGGTCATGTTCTTCGTCGTCCACCTCAGGAGCTCAGTGTTACTGCCCTCGATCCGGCACCGTTGCCCCATTGGAGGCGTCGAAGAGGTGGTCAGTTTGAAACCTGGCTCGACGCTGTCCGTCAAGACATGGAGGTGGTTCTTGGACCTTCGGTATTCGGTCTCCGTCGTTGGCGAAGGGAATGGGTTGAGCTGTCCAGATCTGCTGCCGCGGACCGTCACGCGTGGAGAGGTACAGTTTGGGGCATCATCGAGGTCGGCTAGATTAGGCATGACCGCAGCCGTATCAAGTACAAGTAAGTAACTGCTTTGTCTACCCATGGAGTCGATGAGTGACACAGGAAGAAGGAGAACAGCTGAGGCCCAGTAGTGATTTGGGGACGTTTGGGCTCGGCCGAACCAATTGGTCGCTCGCCGATCACGTCAGAGCCACCCATTTATGACGCTCTTAATATACTCACTGCTTGGGTACTGTCAACACCTTGACCAACAAGTACGGTTGGCATGGTGTTGCCGCCGCTTTCGGCGGTAAAACCAGGGCTCCATCTGCGCGCTGGGAGCTGTTTCTATCGGGGGTCGTAAACATGTTTTGTGAGGTTACTTGTTCGGTCTTCCGCAATATACTGCGCTATCGAGACAAAAAGACGTTTTCCGGTAGCTTGTGAAAAGAGTGGCTAATGAGACTACGCACTTTTAATTAGTTTCGCTCTGTATGAGGTCGATGCGAGCGGCGAGAAATGTTACGGTCGAAGTTTCATGAGTGTTTGGCAACTGACTAGACTTCCACTTGTTGCCAAACTGTAACCAGCATGAGCGTACCGGTTGGACGATCTCAAAATTCGCGCGACTACTGCGTGGTCCTATCACCAAAAATGCAACTTCCTATTCATTGAGACACTAACGGCCCCTGAGACTTCAGTGGAAAGCCGTCTACTTGATCAGTCCTATCACCAGATTGTCAGATGCTCCTTCCATGCTGGCGAGTATTCTTGGTCGCGGCCAACGAGGGGACGGACCCTTAGCTGACTGTCGGAACACCTGGCATAGTGCTCAATGACCAAGAATTCCAAGCCTGAACACCGTATTATCTAAACCTGTGTCCGGACCGTGACTGGCTGACGGCGACTGATGGGCCAGAAATGGTCACTTTGGCCTCATTTTCTTCGCCAACATTCCTTCATAAGTCTAAAGCCACGTCCGAGCTATCAGACTGCAGAAGGCATCACTGCAAGCTTTTGGGGCACCAGCGAAACTATCCAACCAGCTGACTGCCACAGTTACTAATCATCCTAGTACTCCGAGCGTCATACTTGTCGTTGAGTGCACGCGAACACCCGACTTTTATGGCTTGTGAGGGATCTGCACCTGTTAACCAAATGGTACGTGCAGGTTATGCCGTTTAGCTGCAATGCGGAGCACTGGACAGGTTTGAGTAGCTACACGGGCGAAGTAGTTTATACAGTGTCTTCAGCCAATTCCATCACCGTTACCAAAGAAAGAAAAAGCCGGAGACGGGCGGGGGGCGATGACAAAAGGAACTGTCTGGCGAACCGAATTTCAGGACTCATCCTCGATTCCAACTGTGGCCCAAGAGGAATTATTATTGTTTTCGATGGCGAGAAAGTGAAAGCTTTACTGTTGAGACTAGAAGCAAGTAGACACGAGAAACCCATCATGGTTGCTGTTCTGAAGAAGCCAGTGGTAATTGTCCTCACTGGAACGACGGGCGACTTCCTCGAATCTTTTTTTTCAACATACACTTTGTTTCAGACCCGGAAGTTGAACAGATGGATTATATTTCGATTTGGGAGTGATACCTGCATTTACCAACGGGTCGATCTGAGACAGGAGCGTCCAATCAGGTTAAGGGTTCATTTAAATTCCAAAATAAAAACGTCTTTGGAGCGCTTCCCAATGTGCCTTGTATACAATGCTCGCAAATGTGTAAATCGGAAAAGATGTGTCTGGAGGCTGTCGCCGGGGAGGGTTATATCTTACTGCACCAACAAAAAGGACAAAAGCAACGGTCGAGTACGCAGGCCCCTACTTTTATCACTATAGCATGTCTACTTGTTTTGTGTCGGTAGGCGCGATGTATTAGCGTTACTTCCTTCTCAGGCTCGGAGAAATTGTTCAATTTGGGGCCAAGGCTAGGACTGGGGTCAGGTTTACCTGTCGCATACCGTCTCACCCAATCCGGCTCTCTTTGATAAATAACCTTGGAATACCTGCTTTCCGCCCGTTTACACACTTCCTTATTCACTTATTTCTAACTGCTCGGTCCCTTCCAGCACCTCATTAGTAAAAATACGAACACGCATCGGAGATTCGAGTTTTCATATTCCCACAGATTCCGCTTACTGTCGTATCCGTCTGCATCACTGATAAAAATAATACTGGCACCCTTCCTGTATTTCAGGAGAGTCCTTGTGCTCCATTTTCTCAGTGGACTTGCATAGTCCTTGCCAAAACAACCCTCTACACTTTAGTTTTCATCAAGTTAGGAACTGCGACCTCTGTCAATTTAGAGGAAGTTCTCTCCTCTATTCTGCCCGTTGCAGGTCATCCTTGTTGCAGGTCACGCGTCGACGCGCCCGTCGACGGTCCGACCAACACGTGTGACTCAACTAGTCACTTTCTCATGCTGACACGGACATACCAGGCACATCTGTAAACGACACGCCGCAACCCACGCGCTCCGGAATGGACGCCTTGTTCTGGTCCGCAAGCAAGTTGCCAGCTCACAGCCCACAGCTATCTGGCCCCTGACACCAGGCTGACCACCACAATATAAAGCTTTGGAGATTCTGGAGATTCCGATTAAAACACGGCGAAAAGACGGAGGAGTTGGTATTGACGTACAAAATCCGCACAAACATTATGAAACCCAACGGCGATGCTGGAACCCAATCCATACCAGCTATATTTCAGCAAGTAAATCAGTTTATCAGAACCCCTTATCCGGCCGCACGGAAACTTCTTGTGCCTGTAATCCGCGAAGAATTTGCCGATGCTCTCAATTGATAGGTCGACCAATCAACGCGCGCAAATTGCCCCACGCCTTTGACCTAAAATACGGCATTCCGGACAGGGTGTTTAGGAAGCCGTGTTCATACACTTAGTGACGCGGTAAATTTGTTTTCCGACATCCCTATTTGCCTTGTGCTTTGTGAAAAACATTGACATCACTGACTCTTAGAGGGACAACATGACATACTACCGCATAATATCCGTCGGCAGCAACCGAAAGTTGAAATAACAGACAACATCAATCCTCGCGTTATCAGCGAAAATAGGGCACAACTGTGGTGTAGAGTTCATGAGCGGTGTTCTCGTTCGTATAGTATTTGGGTTGAGTCGATATGCTGTACAGTGGGATCTCATTTCCTCAAAAGTGTTCCCGAGGCCGATAATTTAGTCCGCATATTCACAATTCTGGGCTGATGCAGGAAAATACAAAAGGCACCTCGATTGTTGCGGCCATTAAATAACAGGAAAATAGTCGGAAATAATCATTTCAGTGTTTCTAGGACCCGAATAACTGCAGCAAAACGAATAATTCGGATGTTTTTGCAAAATCATGGATTTCTTCCATTTTTGGATGCAGTTATTGCATCCCCATGAGATCTCATATCTGTTCTGAACACGTTAAACAAGCTTCGAATCAGTCAAATACAGCATGGGGATAAGTAGTTGATCGCAGTCTATGTTGTTCCAGTGGGCTGAATAGAGAACGAGACACTGGTGCCGCGACACAAAAGTACCACAAAATGGTGATGACCGGAAATAACTATTGCTTAATCGTTAACGACCGGACCCTGCCAAATATGCAACGATTTCGTTTCCACGTTCGGGCATCAGTCCTATTCGCTTGCTGATACTCTCAACCACCAGATGCTTCAATGTATCCACGTGCCTCAGGCATCTTTCATACGATCTCCGGCAATCCGGTGAGACTTGGACACGACGCACACTATCCACGTGGTTTGAAAATAGAGTTTTTGTCATGATAAGGTTGCGCTACTAGGCTTTTTCACCAAACCTTAGACTTGGATTTAGGAGAACAATGATAAGCATCAAGTTCACATAGAACTCAGAAGCCCTCCTCCGCCTCACCACACTCCAACAGCTCAGTCCTCGTTGCCGACGATGTCCACCGTGTGCTCCACAGCAAGGTGAGAGCAGGGACGGTGATTTGAGCGTGATTTACTTAGTAATGGATGCGGACTTGCGCAGCATCTACCTGACCCTCTCCTCCCCACCTGAACCCGGTGATAAGACAGCGTTAAGAAGACCGGAGGCGGGGAGGGCGCAGGTGGACGGCGCGGTCGAGCCCGCACATTGACTTTCCACCTCACACCCCCTGGTCCACACAAAAAATGACCGGAACTTTAAACAGCAGCAACAGAAGGTGCTGGCGCGGCCGGAACCGCACCTGGGCGTGCCGTCGCAACTGGCTCGGATCCCACGGAGTTGGAGTCCCATAAAGGCCACATTAAGAAGGAGCCATTGCAGCAGGACTATTAGACTGCTCCACACAAACATACATCACTGGGCCTACTGCGAGCTCCAAGTTATCCCGTCAGTTGGAAACCTTCCAAGCCACGGCTTTTAGCACACCGTGATAGCTTCAAGCGGCTCCGATTGCTTATAGTGAGAAAAGTGCGCTGAGCCGTCGACCTCACTCTTCCTTCCCAGGCCCCAGTCACTGTCCGAGCCGGTCAATTGACATTTGCGGGGAATGGGCGCGGTGACTGACATATCTAGTGACCTTGTCTGCGCGCGCCACATTCGCGGCCTGGACTTCCAAACACGAGCACCAGAATCCACATAACGGGGGTTAAGCGACGCACATCTCACATGCGTGAGAGTGTCGTTGGTCACGCTTAGCAGCTGTTTGAGCCTTGTTCTCAGTCCGCCACTCCACACAGCTGTTCGGACTGCGTGGACTGATTTGGGCGTCAGTAAGCAGCCTTGCAAGCCACGGCGTTTGGCGTGCCGTGATAGTCTCAGACTCGAGCCACACATGCAGCTGTGGAGCCGCATTGACGCGAAGTCAAGACGCAAACTTCCCACTTGTGTATGAGGTGGCATTTGGGTGCTTGTGGTGGGTGGTGTTGATGTGCGATTAGATGCCGGCGAGGAGAATGTGATGGTGTAGCGCAGTCGGTGGTTCTCTACCGCGGGTTTTCGCGGACGTGCATGTGGCCGAAGAGGCCCATGCGGTCAATAAATGTACAAGTACAATGTGGAAAGTGGAGGCGGATGCGGCGAGTGTAGGTTGGTGCTCCAGGCACTGGTTCGCCGGTCTCTGTGCGATGGACTCGCAAGTGACCAATCAGGCCGATGCGTGAGTTGAATGTGCGGGGACAGTGTGGAACTGAGAAGTCGGTGGTATCAGTTTCATCTACGGTAATGATTGTGCTTGACACGATAGTTCGACGGTTGAGTTCGACGATGTCCACCTGCAAGGTGAGCACAGGGACGATGACTTGCGCGTGAAGTCAGCGGCGTCAGTATCAGCTACGATGATGGTGGTGGCGGTGGGCGCGCTGGGCGACGGGGTGTGAGTAGGGCTAAGCGTGATGGTTGTGGCGGAGCTGATGACAGTGGGCGCGCCGAGAGGGGCTAGGCAGGGTAGGTGTGCTGGATGCGTTAACTGGGCCGAGATTGCGGTCGATTCCGTCCACGTGGGACCCCATGCGACCGGACAGGCCCATGCGGTGCATGAATATGCGAGGGCAGTGTGGACAGTAGAGGGGAATGCGGCGGGTGTATTTTGGTGCTCCAGGCTTTGGTTTACCAGTCTGTACTATGGATTTACTAGTGGCCGACTAGGCCGATGCGTGGGGCGAAGGTGCGGTCATAATGAGGACGAGTGTAAACCAGGTCGTCATCACCAGTGTCAACGGTGGTGGTGGTGGTGGTGGTGGTGGTGGTGGTGGTGGTGGTGGTGGTGGTGGTGGTGGTGGTGGTGGTGTTGGCGTTTGTTAGTGTCTCAGGATTGTGGGTAATATTGATGTACGTGGCAGATGCCACAACGGCAGACGTTGAGGAATTGGGGGAGGAGGAGGAGGAGGAGAAGGGCAGTGGCGGTGCGGGAGGGCGGTCAGTGTTAGTTAACGGTGTAGGAGGCGAGGGAGAGGTGTACAGAGAGATGACGGTTGGTGCAGTCCGAGTGCAAAAGTAAGTCCGAAGGTGTCCAACAAGTCCATTTGGGGCCCGGAATGTCTTTTGACACCGTGGACACGTTGGGGTCGGTTGGGCGGTGACTTTGCGAGGCGGGCGCAGCTGAAATTTGCGTGCTTCTCGTTTGGCTTTCGCGGCGGCGATGCGGTTGGCTTCATAGATCGCTGCGTCCTTCTTCGCTGTCCTCCAGATCGGTTGGTCTCGGACGGGGTCTTTTCAGTTGGCCGAGTTGATTTGCAGACGCTTCAGGGAAGTCTTCAAAGGGTCCTTGTATCGACGGATTTGGCCTCCTTGGCGGCTGGAACCCCTAGCGACATTTCCGTAGAAGAGTTGTTTGGGTAACCGCCCCTCGTCCATCCACACGGGGTGGCCGCTCCAATGCAGTTGCAGCTGTCTCAGCATGGCGTAGGCGCTGAGAATTCCCGTCCGCTCCGGTAGATCCGTGACGGGAATCCGATCCTGCCATCTCAGCTTCATTATGTGTCGGAGACAGCTGAGGTGGAAACGATTGAGTCTTCGCGCCTGCTTCTTGTACACCTTCCAGGTCTCCGCTACATACAGCAGTATTGGCAGGATGACCGCCGTACACATCTTCAGTCTGGCGTTTGGGTGGAGACCGTGACCGTTCCTGACGGTGCTTTGCAGACAGCTGAAGTCTTGGCTGGCTTTGAAAATCCGGCAGGCCACTTCATCATCGATCTTGGTGGTGCGGGAGTGGGTGTTGCCCGGGTAGGTGAAGTCGTTCACGACCTGCAGTTGGGTGCCGTTCACGTTGATTTTGGGGTGCGACGTAGGCAGAGTCGGGTGGCGGTTGATGCATAACCACCATTTTCTCCATGTTGATCGGACTGAAGTTCTCGCAGAAGGTGACGAAGAGAAGTTCATGGACGTTGGTTGTGGAAGTGCATCCGCCCGTGGTTGAGGTGGTCGTCCTTTCTGTAGGCGATGCGGACCCCGGGGCGTCCGTCACGGTAGGCGTCCATCAGCATTGCAGAGAACATGAGACTGAAGAGGATGGGCGTGAGGGCACAGCCCTGCTTCACTCTGTTGGTCACTGCGAATGTCTCCCCACACTGCAAAAGGTCAGGGACCTCGGGGCAGTAGCAGAACTGTCCATTCTCGGTGTTGTTCTAGATCTTGGCACTTTCCAGTATATCATCCTCGGCGATCCACCTCGGAGTAAGTTGGAGTGTGACATGTGGCATCCTCCTTGTGTAGAACATTCACCAGCCCCCAGCTCCTTTCCAGCACCAACTCACACCTTGATGAATTTGCGCTGGTCACATAACCCACAACCCACCTGGTACACAGCTTCATCTTACTGATTGCCACCTGTTGAAGAACCCGTTATTTGCCTTGAAATATCCATATAGTGTAATAGGCAGTTTGTCAGATCGCTGTAGCCAGGCGTTAACTCGGCCAGCCCCACCACAGGACGGCTTCTATCGCAATGAACATCACGTTCCTATGCTTCTGTTGTCTGTGACCAAGATGGCCAATCCAAGCCTCCGTAATAGCGTTGTTAATTGCGTCCATTCACAGTCAGTGACGGCATTAGACCACTATGCCCTTTGAGCTTTCCTCGAAGCGCAGACACAAGTAAGTCCTCCTCCTCCCCCTTCCCCAACAATAGATATTTTACTTTGTTTACCTGCTATGACTCCTTGCATCGAAGCGCCTTTAACAAAGTCAGTTGGATCGGATGTGGTTTGGTAGCCCCACCTGAAGTAGACAAACCCCAGTCACCTCTAATATGGGACCGATGGTAATAGGGGGTTTTACATGTGAAGCCGGGAACACACGTGCAACGAGGTCAAGTAGTTGTATGCAAAAGGAAAGCTATTGGGAGTGCGTGGTTGTACTTTCAATGGTTGCGAAATAGTTGCGCTATAATCCCTAACCATAATCCCTTTTCCTAAACCCCAACCGCTAACCCTAACCTTTAAACCTAACCCCTAACCATAACCCCAATCCCAACAGTATTGTGTCCATCAGGTGGGGCTACCAAACCAAATCTTACCCTCAATGGACTCCGGGGTCTGCTTACAAGAATATATTAAACCACAGCAGTGACCGTCAGGACCGAATAGAAATCTGCGTGAAGTCTCCACGTCTGGTACCTTCGAAACATTTCAAGCGTAAGCACAGTCGTATTTCAGCAGTCGAGATATCCTGAGATTATCAACAAGCCCTCCACTTCAACCGCCAACAGCCTCGCCTAAACGGACAAATCCCGCTAAAGCACCAGTTCCTATGGGCTAGTTAAGGGGATGCCATATTTTCTTAAGAAAATATACTACTTAGAGACCAGGCTGCGGCGTAAAGAAGAGTGAGATCCAAGTACTTTGTTTCTGATAACATGAGCGAATTCCGAACCTGACATACTTGTGGGGAGCAGCGTATTTTACGTAAACCCCTCTGCATACTCTAGAGATTATACGGATGCTAGTGTAAGTCACCGTAATAAAAACCTCCATAATTAAACTGCATGGTAACACGTACATCTCCGCTCGCTTCTCGTTTTTGGACCAAAAAAGGTTGTTATACACCCTTGTGGCCAACCTTATTTTGCATGTAGTGACTTTAGGTGTCAGCCTACGCACTTTGATCTTATTAGGCATAGAATGTTTAATCCGTCTTGATGCTCAATCTGGCCATGTCCTTATTTACTCCAAAGGGCTATTTCGTGTCAAAATAAGAGCTCCCCTGTCCGGTCCCGAGCACTTTTATACGGGCTCAGAACTAAGCGAAAATCACTACCAAGTACGTCAAGTGCTGTCATAAATCCTACTTGTTTTATAGCATATGTAGGTTATATTTTGAAAGAAGGAAATGACCCGAGACCGAAAACCCTCTTCGTAAGTCGGTCTTTTGCTCTCCTTCTGCCTGAAAATGGTAAGACCTGGACGCCTCACCTCCGTCGTGGACGTCGGCTAACAACTACTTCTGAAAGACGCGCTTTGTACAAACTTAACTGCTCCCAAATTGACCCTCCGCTATCGGCAAATGCCTTCCGCCCCCCCGCGGCGCATACGGCTCAAGAACCCCACGGTCTGATTCAGCTGCCACCGGAGGTAGTAGACTATGCCTTCTCTCAAGAACTGCTATGTCCGTGATGTTTTCGCCAATCCCTCCATTTTCGAATCCAAGGTGCCTGACGGGTGAGATAATCACTAAATTACGCCATTCCAAAAATCTGCTAATGCTGGCTCTAGACCCTTCCATCGGACTGTACGTCCGTAGGTTCCTTTGGAGGCCGGCGAAGGGCTCTGCATCTGCATTAAGTCTTCCTGTTTTTTTTTTACGAAAATAAACCCCTACATGACAAAGCCAAGTACTTCGAGTGATGTGGCTGTCTGATCAGTCGGCTGTTCGAACCTCAGTCAAACGTTGTCCAGCGCAGAAACGCACACCCTTAAATCTCCCTCTTGCTTCCTACAGGTATGAGGGATTTTTCGTAGAAAATATCTGCACAGATCTCCCGGTAGGGTGGCTTCCTGGATTAGAAACCCCGTTTTTTCTGCAAACTCAATTTATTCCACTTGCCAGACGCTAATCAACTCACTCTACCACAGCGTTTGGAAATGTACTTTGTAGAAAATTTTACTGGAGCAAAATCCATGCACGCTCTAAATATTAGAGAAAATGACGTCTTCTAGTAAATCGTGCTGTCTTTGACGTCAATTATCTGCCAGCTACTAACCTACCGCACTCGCATATCCGACTTTCAGATGCGTTTCCACTTCGGAATCAACAACTCCGATGACACGTCCTTAGTTGCCTGTACAACGTTTAAGGGGGAATTCGAATTAAATCAAATTTTTATATAAAAAGCATAGGTGGCAAATATGATTGCAAGTCACTGGGTTGGCTAGGCATCTGGCGAGTCAAGTCACGATGTCCGAAAGTCATCAACAGACTGTCTTGTTGAAGGGGAAGGAGGACTTTGGCCTTCAATTTTTTCCCTGAAATATCACGTTGAGTCGAATTGGACAATCAAATCGTCCTTTTCTTGCGGACACATCTCCGAAATGAGCTTAGCGCTGCGTCTTGCGACCTTCTCCAGCTACAAAAAGAAGAAAGGAGGTTTGGTCGCTTTTAGTGAGAGTTGTGTCGTACAAGTGTATACTGGAAATCAAGCGGGCGAGAATTATGAATTTTAGAAGGTGGCGAGCGAACGTAGCTTCCGATAACTTCTCGTCAGGCCGGTACAGTTATATGGGAACGGGGTACAGTGGGTGAAAAAATCGATTAAAATTAGTTTTTAAAATGCAGGCTAGGCAAGAGCGGAAGGGCGCACAAAGTTGTATGTCGTTAGTCAACATTTGACCACGGTAAGCTCGGACCCTGAACGAGGTTCTTCTGGGCGCATAGGGTCAGTTTTCGTAACCTGATGGCGGCCGCTTCTGCTGTTGCTAACAAGCGCTGGCCCAGTAGCTTAGGGTAGCTCGAGCGGATCTTATAAATCACACGAAATGCTTCAGCGGGATCCACACGATGCCCTGAATCCACTGCATACGCAAGGATGGCGCTGTCTATTCCCCTAGCTTCACACTTGCACACAGCCACTCCACCAATGCAGCCCGCTATAAAGACCAAGAGAATGAATGAGTAACATACATGGGAACCCTTAAATTACTGAAGAACATCTAATAATAGGCCCTCGAATGGTAAATTTTAGTCCACAGTTCGATTGTTCCCGACGATGTCCACCGTCTGCCACATAGCAGGACGGGAGCAGGGACGGTGACTTGGGCGTAAGTACGTTTATAATGATATTAGACCTGCGTAGTATCTACTGTACTCTCTCCTCCACCAACTGGGTCCGATGTCATGACAGCCGAGGAGACCAGAGAGGGTTCAGGTGGCTGGGACGGCGAAGATCCACACCCAAGCGTACTATCATAGTCCTTGGTCCACAACGTACGCTGACCAGGATTTTACACAAAAGGAGCAGATTCGAATAGCAACTGGCGCAACGTGAGCCTGCAGTTGGGCCCGTTGGAATCTGTTATGCCTGCGCACTCTCAATAACGGTAGTCGGATCCTGATCTATCCCCCGCGTTGTTCCAGCGCATCTACTGCGTGGCCCGTTTTAAAAGGCGAAAATGTTACTTGTACAAGTCATAAAGACGTATTATCAGAGTCATAAGCCCAAGTCACTTTCCAGAAGGTGGGATGTGAGCATCCGAAAAAGCATCTTCTCAGTCCTTTCTGTGAATGCGATCCGAACCAGAAGAATAAACGCACGTTAAGTTAGCGCGTAGTTTGGATGTCCAACTCAGTCGGCAAAGAGAATAAGCGGCTGATGTCCGCTCGGATGGTATTGTTCCTTCAGCCGCCATAAATCAGCGACCAACCCAAGCCAAGTCAACTCAAGATGAGATTGGACGAAACGACTGACATGGCACAAAGCCGCAAATTAACGAGTATCACATGCTCGTATGACACCGTTTAGATCAGACGTAAAAGCACAGCCACCTTGAAGACCCAGTGACAATGCTTCAATGTGTTTAGCACACTGTGTAATTAGCCACTAAAGATGTCGGCACGCAATTGCCTCCTTAACCTAGTCGATTCCTAGATTCTTATCCCGTTGGGCACTTTTTGACATCGTCGGGGACACAGGGGGCGACAGCTCGACCTATTTTTTTTTACTGCGTCAAGCCCTGCTGACAGCCTTAACAGCGTAGGAGCAGCTTCCCTATCCATTAAGGACTAAGCAAATATTGGTCTAACGAACTACTTACCCCGTCCAACACCGCCCAACACCCATGTGCCCATGGGTTTATGTGTGCCTTACAGCTAGGTGCTCATCAGTAGCGTTCACACAGATCCCGCGGTTCTTCGACCAGTCCCCACAAACGTTGAAGAGTTTCCACTCA